TATCACCATTAATTTACAAATACCATCAAATTGATTTCAACTATTGCTCATGGCGAAAGAGTAATTAGCATAACTATGTTTTTAATAATATTTATTCGCCTTTGAAACAGAAAATGCTTACAAGTCGTTTACAAGAATTATCAAAACATCAACATAAACAATGAACTTTTGACATAACTATGGGCGAAAATCGGTTGCTTTTTGGCCTCGACTTTTTTTTTGCTTGACAACGCAGGGGCAATAAGAATCGACTTTCAATGACGCAGGTCGTTTGGATCGGACGGTTTCGAGTTTGTTGTATGCCTAGAAACCTTTTTGTGAATATAGAACATGTTCCAACAAAGGATTTTGATACGTCAGTCGAACAATTCCTTACTGGAACGTCTCCTGTATTAAATAGTCCTCATCAGGCTATGCTCAAAATTTTACAATGGCACTCTAGCCCTAAATGTCCACGTCGCCGTACGTAAAAACACACTCTCGAACGGGCAACTTTCAGCTTTCAGCTTTTTAACTATTCAGACGTTTTCTTGGTCGCATTTGGTATATGCCAGTCAGATACTGACAAATAAGTAATTAAATGGTCCGAGCTTAGTCAACATGGAACTCTGAATAATAGGTAGACCCTAAAGTTAGCGTCATCATACAACATTATTGAACGAAATTCATATTACAATCTTATGCTACCGAACAATCCGATATTTATACGATATATAGAAGATAATATTTGGTAATCGTAGTCCTAAATAACTATTAAAAATAGCTAGACGTTTCGAGCAATGGCTCTTTATCGATAGCATAGAAGAACGCATTTATTTATAAACTACTATTACGATATTTATACGGGAGACTGAACACAGTAGAGTACTGGAAACTGGCAAGTACACGGCATAGTCAAAGCATATGGTATACATGAAAATGAACTACAAAATAAATGTCAGTAAATACAATATTTAAAAAAAATCCTGCAGCCCCATAGACAAGTTGACAATCAATAATACAATGTATTGCTAAACCGCCAGTTGTGAACGCACGAAGTTACACGGACAGGGAAAAGGCATCATTATGGCAAGGACAAATAATAAATTCTTTTGTCAAGGTTATATAATAAATACACAAATAAAGTTCCAAGGGGAAAACAATTGTATATACTTAGTACGCACGCAAAGTTATTGGTACTAAATTGGAATTGATCGACCATAATACTTTTTACATTGTCGAGAAATGACTATGGCATCTCTCAAACCAATTTAATTAACACTTGTTTTTTGTGTATTCCACGGTTCATCCAATCATATTAAAATGAACTCTTCGTAGTCATCAAAATGAGTTGTTACTTAATATTTGTAGTCCGCATCTTACAGTCTTCTGGCTACCGTGCTACCATTCACCACCTACGTTATGAAACTTTGTGATAATATTGTCGTTTTAAAAAAATATATATAAACTATTCTTTGTATGTGGACAAACACCTAAATCAAATAGAAACGTTTTATAGCTTGTTGGTGTACTTTTTATTAATTTTTATTACTTTACTGAAATTTCAAGCGTTCGTGAGCATTTGGTGGATATACATGAGGTATACATGCTTACAAGATTAGCAATATAGATGTTTGGAGTTGGTTGGCGAGATACTTAGAAATATCATAAAAAATGGCTAAAATACGAAAATAGTGCTTTGAGCATAAAATAACTGTTTTTTCGCAATTATTTTTGT